TTAGTTGGGGTATTTATATGGAATTTTCCCTATCTTATACTATAGATTTCTGTTTTATTAAGACTCTATTGAACGGTTTAGTTTGGTTTAATTAAACCGTGTAAATTATAAGCTGTAATACATATAGTATATACTTCATATACATAGACTGTAGTATTAAGTTGATAACTAAATTACACGGTTTAACTAAACCGTAACGACTGTAGTATTTAAGTTGATAACTAAATTACATGGTTTAACTAAACCGTTCAATATAAAGTCTAATATGCTTACTAATGAAATTAACCGTTGTTTGACTCATAAACTCGTGATTGCTAGGCCCCTAAAGCCCATATAGCATGTGAGAGATATATTTACGTATGAAACTGTTTTTTATAAGAAAGAGAGCTCTTAAGAAAATGAGGACACGTGGTAGGACATGAGAGTACTGAATTAGTGACATCCTAAAGTGAGGTGTATTGATGAGAAGAGAGTGGCCCTCTTCTTTATATAATAAGATTATTTGGTGTATGTAATATATATTACATAAATTTTAATGTNAAGAGAGTGGCCCTCTTCTTTATATAATAAGATTATTTGGTGTATGTAATATATATTACATAAATTTTAATGTGATTTTAGATATATATTACTAAATTTTATCAAAAATATTTTAAGTGTTAAAAAAACATAAAGATAATTTTATTGTGAATATAAATCAGATAGTATAATAATAGATTCTTAATTATATAAAATATGTATACATAAAAATTATTAATTTTAATGGGATCATATATTTACATAGATAGAATTTTAAAATATTATTATCTTACTATTTTATCAATTTATGTTAAATTTGAACTGGCTCAAATTAGGATCGACAAAATCCTAATTTGTTAATTAAAATAAACAAAATTTGAGTATTAAAATAGATACAGTTATAAAAGTTGGTGTATTAAAATGGGCAGAATAATTAGTTGAAGTATTAAACTGGGTAGTGAAAAAAGTTTGGGTATTAAACAACTTAATAGAATTTAGTTGGGATATTTATATGGAATTTTCCCTATCTTATACTATAGATTTCTGTTTTATTAAGACTCTATTGAACGGTTTAGTTTGGTTTAATTAAACCGTGTAAATTATAAGCTGTAATACATATAGTATATACTTCATATACATAGACTGTAGTATTAAGTTGATAACTAAATTACACGGTTTAACTAAACCGTTACAACTGTAGTATTTAAGTTGATAACTAAATTACATGGTTTAACTAAACCGTTCAATATAAAGTCTAATATGCTTACTAATGAAATTAACCGTTGTTTGACTCATAAACTACTGATTGCTAGGCCCCTAAAGCCCATATAGCACGTGAGAGATATATTTACGTATGAAACTGTTTTTTATAAGAAAGAGAGCTCTTAAGAAAATGAGGACACGTGGTAGGACATGAGAGTACTGAATTAGTGACATCCTAAAGTGAGGTGTATTGATGAGAAGAGAGTGGCCCTCTTCTTTATATAATAAGATTATTTGGTGTATGTAATATATATTACATAAATTTTAATGTNAAGAGAGTGGCCCTCTTCTTTATATAATAAGATTATTTGGTGTATGTAATATATATTACATAAATTTTAATGTGATTTTAGATATATATTACTAAATTTTATCAAAAATATTTTAAGTGTTAAAAAAACATAAAGATAATTTTATTGTGAATATAAATCAGATAGTATAATAATAGATTCTTAATTATATAAAATATGTGTACATAAAAATTATTAATTTTAATGGGATCATATATTTACATAGATAGAATTTTAAAATATTATTATCTTACTATTTTATCAATTTATGTTAAATTTGAACTGGCTCAAATTAGGATCGACAAAATTTATTAATTTATTAAAATTATTAGTTTATCGAATATTAGTTTATAGAGGTTATATTGTACGTTGAAGCTAAAAACAAACTATTTATGCATGTATTGTTTCTGGACCTTGTACTTTTTTTTGTTTTGAACAATCTCTGGACCTACGTACATAACTACATATAAGTTTTAAATCAGTAACCTAAAACTAAAAAGAATGAAAATAATAGTGCTACAGATTTCATTAAACCGTAAAATGTCAGTTTAAAAATCATCCAATTGATCATGGAATGTATTTCAACGGTACAATACAAAATTCTTTTAAATGGCCACCCAAGAAGATATATTGCTTCGCAGAGAGGACTGCGGCAAAGAAATCTTCTTGTGCACATAGGTATTGATTGCGAACATAAAGAAAGCAAAATGACATAAACTCTTGACAGGAATGAAGGTGAAACGGGTTTGCCCATCAGTTTCATATTTATTATTTGCTGATGATAATTTATTCTTTTGTAAGGCACTGAAGGAGGAATGTTATACTATTCTTAGGATTCTGAATGATTATGAGAATGTGTATGGTAAACTGAGAAGTTTTCAAAAGTCCTCGACCTAATTTGGGTTCAAAATTAAGGAAGGAGTCCGGCAGGAACTTAGGAATATATTAGGTATTCAAAATATTGGAAGAATATGATCATATTTGGGACTGCTTGAAAGTTTGAGGTACAAGGTTCAAGTGTTTGGTTTTGTGCATGAACGTTTGAATAACATAGTCAATGGTTAATTTTAAATTTTTTTCTAAGGAAAGAAAGGAGGTAGTGCTTAAATCAGTCGTCACGGTTTTACCTAATCATGTGATGTCTTGTTGTCGGATCCCTAAAACATCACCTCGAAACTAACGAGTGCGGTGAGATAATTTTAGTGGGGTTCATGAGGGAACACAAGGGATATTCATTGGAAATTTTGGGATAAACTTTGCCTCAGTAAAGATGAGGGAGGTCTGGGGTTTAAATACCTTTCGGATTTCAATACGGCTATGTTAGGGAAACAACTATGGCGTTTGATTGAGAAACTCAATACTTTATTTTCTAAGTCTTCAAAGGACGGTATTTCAGGAATGCTTCACCTCTGGAACCGATCCGCTCTTACTCACCATCCTATGGATGGCGTAGGATCATCTCATATAGATCTCTGGTTTGCAAAGGACTAAATAAAAGGGTGGGACCAGGATCATCTATATCTGTATGGAATGAACCTTGGCTCCCAACCACTCGCCTGAGACCAGTAAATGGTAATTTTCAACATCTCTATCCGGATCTCACAGTGGATTCGCTCCTTCATTCATCATTGCGTACCTGAAATTCTCTGGTAATTCGATCATTGATGGAACCAGAGGAGCTAAGATTATAGAAAGTATACCATTAAGTTGATATCAGCTCATAGACCAGGATGGATGACATTACACTATTAATGGAAAATATACGGTAAAATCATGTTATCAGGAGGTATGGATTTACCCAGATAGAGATAGAGAACATAAGTTTTTTGGACCCACGGTGATCCCCATAAAAGCTTATTCATGGAAGATTTGGTGTCCACCAAAAATAACACATTTTCTCTGGCAGATGGTGTCAGGTTGTATACCAGTTAAGAAAAAATTACGAAGTAAAGGGATGCAAGGGGAGATTCAGTGTTCACAGTGTGGAGCCAATGAGAAATCAATTAATCATGTGTTTTTTGAATGTCCTCCGACCGTGAAAGTATGGGCACTCACTAAGGTACAATCAAATCCAAACGCTTTCCCTTTCTAGGCACTCTTTACAAATATGGACTACTTATATTGGCGGAGATCACAATTCTTGGATGATCATCAATTTGCATGGATCTTATGGTACATTTGGAAATCAAGAAACAATAAGGTGTTTAGCAATATTCACATGGACCCAAGAGATACTTTAAGATTGGAAGAGACGGAATCTATACTTTGGGCTAAGGCGCAGGTCCCCAAAACTAGGGAAGCTCCACATTCGCAGGAGACAATAGAGTTCACTTTACCAGTAATACCAGGTCGCTGGTGTTTCACGGATGGTTCATGGAAAGACCAAGAGCCTTTTTTGGGCCAGGGCTGGTTTAGTATACTTGAAGGATTTAAGGTTTTAATGGGAACAAGGAACACAACAGCAAACATTTCATCGCTACATTCGGAAATAGAGGCTCTTATATGGACAATGGAGAGCATGAGGAATTTACGTCAGTATAATGTTACCTTTGCGACAGATTGCATTTAATTGGTAAAGATGGTTTCTACACTAAAGGAATTGTCAATTTTTGTGAATTACTTGGACGATATCAAGATTCTTATTCGTACAATAAATACAAAGGCGGACGGTCTCGTACGAAACGCTAGGAAGCAAATGTCATTTGTTGTCTATATAAATGTAGAGTTACTAGTTTGATTTATAGAGTTCTTCATAGAATATATTTTCTTTGTTGAGGACAAAAAGAAAAAAAAAATCATCAAATATGAACCCCCAAAATCTTCTAGTAAAACTGAGCCGATCACTCACCAAAGTTAATAATATTGTCGTCCATACCATAACTAAAAACAGTTAACTATTTAGACTTCCTTTATGTATTACAAACACAGTTGGTTTACATATTCTGAATTAATTGTTGATGGCATATACACAAGAAATCCATTAAGTTGAAACTTTTTCTTTTTGAGAAAACCATCAAGTTAAAACTTGTAAACCGTTTGTTAACAAAATATAAGCACTTGCTCATCCCTGATTAAACTAATCAGTACCGACGATCTCAACTGCTATAACAACATCGATATACTAAATAGTAATAACCTCGTATAATAATCGTAGGTAATGTAAGTTCAGTTTGTTGTTTAAATATTGAATAGTTAATACTGTAATCTGTCTAGAAATAATCACATGTTCCTGAATTACCAACATCATTCTCAGCACCACATGCTTTCATAATCTTTCATTCGTCACCATCAAATCTTCCTCTAAATTTCTAACGAATTTAACCTCATATCATAGAACTATATCCTCATAGCTCATCAACCATACACAAGTCTCCTTACTTCTCTCACAAGGAAATACAGAGAATCTAAAAAGACTGAAAGACATTGTTGATGGAGACTTTTGTCTTCCTCTGGCTACTCCTCATGTTCTTCACACACTTGGCCTCATCTCTAACTCAAGACTTCTCTTTCATTGGCTTCAAAAAAGCCACTCCAAATCTAATCATGTCAGGAGTAACAGAGATAGCCAACACTGGAGCCATCAGGCTCACAACAGATACAAGCCGCGTCATTGGTCACGCATTCTACTCTTTACCAATCCGATTCAAGCCAACCGGTATAAACCGAGCTCTTTCTTTCTCCACCACTTTTGTAATCGCCATGGTTCCAGAGTACGTCACGCTTGGAGGTCATGGACTTGCCTTCTCCATCACTCCAAGTCCAAATCTCCAAGGCTCTCTTTCTAGCCAGTACTTAGGGCTATTGAACTCGAGCCGAGCTAATATCTCTAGCAACTTCTTCGCTGTGGAGTTTGATACGGTTAAGGATTTGGAGTTTGAAGACATCAACGATAACCATGTCGGAATCGATATAAACAGTTTGGAATCAAGTATTTCAACTCCAGCTGCTTATTTTCTCCCCAACTCAACCAAGAAAGAGCTTTTCCTCGACAGTGGTAGAGTGATACAAGCTTGGATTGATTATGATTCAGACAAGAAGAGGTTAGATGTTAAGATTTCTCCACTCTCTGAGAAACCAAAATTGTCTCTTCTCTCTTACAATGTAGATCTCTCCCCTGTCTTTGGAGATGAAATGTATGTTGGATTCTCTGCTTCGACCGGTTTGCTAGCTAGCTCTCATTACATCTTAGGTTGGAACTTTAACATGAGTGGCGAAGCTTTGTCTCTGTCTCTACCATCTCTCCCTAGGGTTCCACGTCCACTCAAGAAGAAGAAGAGCCCTGGCTTGATCCTAGGAGTATCTCTCTCGTGTTCCCTTTTGATCATCGCGGTTATTGCCGTAGCAGTTATGTTTGGTATTAAAAAGGCCAAAGATGAAGACAGAGTTGAAGAGTGGGAGCTCGACTTTGGTCCGCATAGATTCTCTTATAGAGAGCTGAAGAAAGCTACAAATGGTTTTGGGGACAAGGAGCTTCTAGGGTCTGGTGGATTCGGGAAAGTATACAAAGGAAAGCTTCCAGATTCGGAAGAGTTTGTAGCTGTCAAGAGAATCTCTCACGAGTCAAGACAAGGTGTACGAGAGTTCATGTCTGAAGTCTCGAGCATCGGTCACCTCAGGCATAGGAATCTTGTTCAGTTGCTAGGTTGGTGTCGGAGACGACAAGATTTGCTTCTGGTCTATGACTTCATGCCTAATGGTAGCTTAGACATGTACTTGTTCGGTGAAAACCCTAAAGTCATCTTAACTTGGGACCAACGCTTCAAAATTATCAAAGGGGTTGCTTCTGCTTTACTCTACCTGCATGAAGGATGGGAGCAAACAGTTATTCATCGCGATATTAAAGCAGCAAACGTTTTGCTAGACGGTGATATGAACGGTCGTGTTGGAGATTTTGGTCTTGCTAAGTTATATGAGCATGGATCAAACCCGGGAACTACAAGAGTGGTTGGTACGTTTGGGTACTTAGCACCAGAACTTACTAAATCAGGAAAGTTAACAACAAGCACTGATGTTTACGCGTTTGGTGCGCTGCTTTTAGAAGTAGCTTGCGGGAGAAGACCGATAGAGACAAATGCGTTACCGGAAGAGCTTGTAATGGTTGATTGGGTTTGGTCAAGGTGGCAAAGTGGTGACATTAGAGATGTTGTGGACAGGAGATTGAACGGTGAGTATGATGAAGATGAAGTGGTGATGGTTATCAAACTAGGGCTTCTTTGTTCGAACAATTCACCTGAGGTGAGACCTACGATGAGACAAGTGGTTATGTATCTCGAGAAGCAGTTCCCGTCGCCGGAAGTTGTTCCAGCGCCGGATTTTTTAGATGCAAATGATAGTATGTGTCTTGATGATGCAAGTGGTGGTAATGCTGGCGAGTTTGAGGACTTTGTGGATTCAGCTAGGTTTTATAGTGGACCTAATCAGACTAGTACTTCTTCGTCTATATTCTCATTCGCAGGTAAAACGAAAACCGATGGGAGATGATGGATTTTATGTCTAGGTTCTCTAAACTGTAATTTGGTAACGTTTTATGTACAATATTTCACCATGGAAAAAGTAAGATGTACGCTAAATATATGAAAAAAAAATGTATGAGGTTTCTCAAACGAAACACTTTAAAACTCATGGAAATTTGAGAACTCTTTACATGGAGATACATGTCTCTTTAATACTGATTATCCATATATCAAGTTCCACTGTATTAATAAAATGATATATTAAGGAAGTGAAGTTATGACTCACTTCATGTGTGATATTTTAGTTTAGACTATTTTTAGAACTTTATAAAATTTTACATAACATTATAATATCTTTTCATATCTTTAATTTTTGTTTGAAATCCAAAAAAATAGTTTTAAAAAAATTCTAACAAAATCTTTTAGAATCTTTTCAAGATATAGTTTCAAAAATTATTTGATTAAAATTATAATCATCTTAAAATATAATTAAAATTTTAATTCATTTCTTATTTATAAACAAAAATTTAAAATTATGTAAAATACTTTTAACAATATCCCAAATTGTTTATGTATTATGTACGTCCAACTTAATTTACTTTTTACATATATTTCAAATTTAGAAATAAAAGAAAATATAAATTAGAAATGTTACATAATAATGTTTTTAAAAATTGTTACAAAAATACAAATTTATAAATTTTATATTAATAATATTATAAGTCACATAAAAATTACTATAAAATTGGATAGCATTTAGAATCAAATTATATTTATTTACTGATAAATTTAATTATATAATTTCAAATATTTTCGTATTAAAATACCCGCACGGTTGTGCGGATCAAAATCTAGTTTATATATTAAAACAGGAATGGTGATATTAGAGTATTAGAACGATTGGTTATTAAATCAATTTGATTGTACCGGTGGTTTACTTGTATAAACCGGGTAGTATAAATACTTGTAATGGACACTGTAAATGCCATGGTAACTTGAGATAATACATTTTTCCTTTCATCGTAACAAACTTTCACAGAGCTCAAGTTCTAATATGGTATCAAAATCATGTTAAATTCACGTTTCTCGCTTCATTTTTTTCTGATTACATCTATGTTCATCACCGATTCAAGATCCAATGTCATGAGTCTCTCTCTATCCTTAATTGTCTTGGTTGAATCATTGTTCTTGAAGTTCTTTGCGATTTATCACTTTCTATCGGCGGTTACTGTCTCAGCACTGATTGAAGCTTTCAAGTTCAAGATGCAAGTCCCTTCCATCTTGAGAGGGAGTATTAGAAATTAAATATCTCTAGTTTACTTTGGTTTATATTGGTTATTGTATTTGGTTTAGTAAAGTTTGTATATAAGCTTCATCTTCAACACTTTGTACGTGTGAGAGATTAATAACAGAAATCACTTTATGTTCAATCTGCTCTTCAACTTGCCGATATTCTCCCTAAAACTGTTCAACCTGCTCTCTTCAAGACGTTAATTGGCAAGATTGGTATCCACAGTATGTGTCTTCCATCTTGAGGGGAGGGTATTAGAGTATTAGAATGATTGGTTTTTAAGTCAATTTGATTGTCTCAATGGTTTACTTGTATAAACCGGGTAGTATAAATACTTGTAATGTACACTGTAAACGGTAACTTGAGATAATACATTTTTTCTTTCATCGTAACAAACTTTCACAGAGCTCAAGTTCTAATAGCATTCCCATTAAAATTTGGTTATTCATTTATCAAGATCCAATGTATTAATAAAATTTTATACTGAATAGTGTTTAAATTTTAACAGATATAAATTAAAGTTAATATGACATAATGAATTAATATCATTTGATATATAATATCAGATATTAGAAAAGAATCTGAAATTGGAAATTTTAGAATTATATTTTAATGTTTTATTATGTATAACTGTTTTTGGTGTAAATATTAATTATGTATAACTGTTGTTGACAAGCTATTAAAATTGGTATAGAATATATATCATATAAATAAGTATAACTAGCTAATACAGTTGAATAAATTTAATGATGGAGGTGCTCTTATATCTTATAAAATTAATGGAACTGATTGATCCTGTTGAACATCTTTTATCCCCAACAACACTTCAATATACATACATGAAATATCAATTAAACTAAGTTTCTGTTTCAGAAATATATAGTGGATCTTACTGAATAAAGAAAGTTATAACTAAAATACAAATTATAAATTAAGTTGAAACTCATTATATTTAACTTTGACAGATCACATACCCAAGAATGTCAGATTTTAACACCTACTGTTACCTTAGCTAAATTCACGTCTTTGGCAATGTGTACACATCAATTTCCTTATACTATCTCCTTCTTATCAATCTTCGATTGGTTATCTCTATTACCTACAAAATCAATCAATTATTTCCAGTATCCCTCACATATCTGGTTCCTTGATTTATTAACGGTATAAATGCATTTGCATCCTTGTGATTTTATTCCTTACTTGCAAAAAAACATTTAAACACTGACATACGTACATAAACACAAAGGATTCGCAAGTAAATACTGAGATAAAGAATACATTAACAAGATGATTTCATCATCGATTCATCTCCAAATCACATTTTGCCTATTAATATTTTCCCCTCTTGCCTTCTCAAGAATACGTCTTACAAACCAAACACTCATCTTCCCTCTCACTACCCAAAATATCCATAACACTTCTTCAACAACATTGCTCCAACGACGTCGTATCTCTTCTTCTCCATCCGTCAAGATTCCTTTCACACACGATGTCACACTCACCGTCTCTCTCACCGCCGGTTCACCTCCACAGACCATCAAGATGGTTCTCGACACTGGAAGCGAGCTTACATGGCTCTACTGCAAACAATCCTCAACACCAACACCCATTTTCGACCATGCGAAGTCCTCTTCTTACATTGCTTTACCATGTTCTTCACCCGTTTGCACCATCCAAACCCAAGACTTACCCGCTCCAGCCACGTGTGACAAACATGCTAACCTCTGCCACGTGGCTGTCTCTTACGTAGATGGATCCTCCTTGGATGGGAATCTTGCTCAAGAGACGTTTGGAATCGGGTTTTTGACCAGACCCGCCACGGCATTCGGGTGCATGGACTCAAGCTCCAGTGCAACACCAGAGGACAACGCAGAGACATCAACCGGTTTAATGGGAATGAACCGGGGTCGGTTATCGTTTATTAACCAGATGGGTTTATCAAAATTCTCTTATTGTATCTCCGGTTCTGACTCTACCGGTGTTCTGGTTCTCGGTGCCGCTTCTCTTCCACCTCTCAAATACTCGCCTTTGGTAACTAAAACCGACCGGTTACCTTATTGGGATCGGTTCGCTTACACGGTCCAATTCGAAGGGATTCAGGTCGGGTCAAAATTGTTACCCATTCCAAAATCTGCTTTTGTACCGGATCATACCGGAGCCGGTCAGACAATTTTAGATTCGGGAACTCAGTTCACATTCCTGCTAGATCCGGTTTACAATGCCTTGAAAACCGAGTTTATCGAACAAACCAAATCGGTTCTCACTGTCGACCCGAGTTACGTGTTCCAAACGGCACTGGATCTTTGTTTCCAAGTCGGGTCAACTAAACCTGATTTTTTCAAAATTGCCAACGGTGAGACTGATGTTCAAAGGCGCAGAGCTGACCGTGTCGGGTGAGAAGCTGTTGTACCTGGTACCAGGGTCCGGATCCCACCAGAAGTACTGTTTCACGTTCGGAAACTCTGGCCTCGCGGGGTTTGAGATGTTTATAATAGGGAATGTTCATCAGCAAGACGTGTGGATGGAGTATGATCTTGCAAATGCACAGGTTGGATTTGCTAATGACGTGAAATGTGATCAACCGAGTCAACTTCTTGAATCAAGACTCTGAAAACCTTATATGTTGTTTCAGTATTGGTTTAAAATTTCTTTGATTTTTTTTTGTTTTAATTAATTACTAGATTTTTGATCCGCGCATTTCTATTTTTGTTGTTTTATCTATAGATGAATCAATAAGTCTTTTGTTTTGATAATATAAAATGTTATAGAATCAAGATCAAGTTATTATGTTATAGAATCAAGATCAAGTTATTTTTCGACTCAAAAATTTGATCCACCTGACCCGCAAAGAAAATATATTTTTGCAAGACATCTTTTATAAAATTTGCAAAAGAATCAGCCAATTAATGTATATGGTTTTTTAGGCCCAAATAAAAAGACTAAAATGCCATTAATGAAAAATTAAATTTGTTCATAAGATTAAGAGTAATTTAGGAAAACATAAATCATTCATTAAAATGAATGATCTTGTTTTAATAGTATTGAAGAGTTTATAATATTTAAATGATTGGTTATTACTTGATACATTCCTACAGCCATTTTTTCTATAATATTGCTTGGTTTTACTAGATAAATAGATATGTTTCACATTTCATATTGTTATGAGTTTTTAATGATATTTATGAAGTAAATTATCAGTTAGAGCATCTTTAACATTTTAATTCATATATATATTTTTGTTAACTAGATCAAAATTAACATATTTTGTGGTTGATCACCACTATAGCTGTTTGCTCATTAACAACCCATATTCATATGGACTGTTCGTGGGTTCAATAAAAGCCTATGATTTTTTTTTCTAGCACCAATATCCCTATGATAGATATAGTCATTCTTTTTATCTACTGATATAAGTTGTTATTTAAATTTAGACCCTTTCTAAAGTGTTACATATAATACAAGTCATATAATTGATTGAACCGCATTACTTAATTTAAACTGGCAGTTATTTATGGACTAGAGTTTTGGGCTTACTTTTGTTTTTATGACAAATTATATAGTTTGGGTTTTGGGCTTAGTATTAAAGAAAAACTCCAAAAAAACATTGAATAAATGTTCTAACTTAATGGATCAAAAAATCAATTACTATTTTAAGGCCCAAAAGAATTTTATATTTTAACAAAACAAAACTATATATTATTAATCACTTATTTAAATCATGTACATTACAACATGTT